CTCGTGTATCCCATTGAGATCTACACGCGGGGTAATTGAAATGTTCCGCGTTATTAATTTAATAATTATAAATAATATCAAGGAGAAAACGCGAAAAGGAAACGAGGCGATGCAGCTTTACTGCCAGGACGGCAGGTGTATCGACAGCTGCTGCTGAGCCGCTCCAGGCCATTGCTGCTAGCACAAATTAATGGGAGTAAATGGGGGACATTATTTCAAATAGATCATACTTTTGGGATAAATCTGATCATTTTGAATGAATCCCTTATTTACTTTTATTTTTTGAATCCCCTTCCCCAGGAGTTCGTCACCCAACTTCTCCCTGGGGGGCCCCGCCGCCGCTGCGGGGGCCCCTACTCCCAGTATGCTCTCACCCTTCAGAGTGTTATTAAGTGCGCCTATCAGGGGGCTTCTGGGGGCCCCCATCAGGGGGCCCCTGGGGGCCCCTAGCGGGGTGCCCCTGGGGGCCGCTGGCAGGGGGCCCCTAGGGCACTTTGTGGTGGGGGCCCTCGAGACGTTGTTGGGGGGCCCCCCAGGGGCCTCCCAGCGCTTCGCCTCCTCTTTACGCTCAACTCCTCCTGTGGGCAAACGGGCGACAAAGCGGCTGCTGCTGCACAACAGCAGAAGCAGATCTCCCCTGCTGCTGCTGCCTCCCTATGTTCCCATCCATGTAAGCTGCTGCTGCTGCTGCTTCTGCCTTCGCCGCTGCTGCTGCTGCAGTGAGCAGCGAGCCTGCCGCTGTTGATGCTGCTGCCGCTTCCGCTACTGCTGCCACTCCCGCGCTCAGCAGCAAGCCTGCCCCTCCACTGCTGCTGCTGCTGCTGCTGCTGCTGCTTGCTTCTCAGGAGCTGCGGGTGTTCTTCCGTCTGCCGTACCCTTCAGTGTTTCGTCTCTGCCGCATTTCGCTTTGCCCCACAACGAAGGCCCTGAGGTGGAGAGACACCTCAGGGGCCATTTACGAAACTTGCAACAAAAGAAAAGTCTTCATTGATTTCTTCCGAGCTGCGCATGCAGCAAAGCAGTGC